ATTATTTTGTTTTTTCAGCAACATTAAATTTAAAAACTGTACTTTTGAGTTAAAATATATATTTATAATTTTAATAAATGAGAAATTAAAAAGGCATGAACATCGAAAAACTGAAAGTTTGTGTTTGTGGAAGGCGCAGTTTTTGGCTTTCCTCATATTCCAAAACGTGCTTAGTTTGGAGGTGATAAAACAAATTACTTGTATTCCCTTTCTTCGCTATTACTGTCGCCCGGCATAATTTGCAAATGATATTTTTCTGCTCAACCTCTGACTGCTTAAACCCAAACCAGGTCCATGTGACCAACGTTGCACCGGTCTTCTTTATGCGCACCACCTCCTCCACCCCACCTGTAAGCTCCATGATAGCTTGCAGCCACTGCAATGCTTTCAACCAAAACAGGCGCATCAACATGAGCTATCGCGATACAGGAAAAATCTCTACCATTGGCCAAATTCATATAGTTTCTACTGTATACCGTTTACCCTACACTTAGCCGTTTGGACGAGTTTACACATCAGCCACGATTAGTCTGCATGTAGTTGCTGAACAGAAAATAATGTAGTTTCCTGTCTTGTTTTTTTGGCTTTTTGATACACATAATGCTACCCTGCAGATGGAGGCCATGGAGGTAGACTCTCCTGTGGAGCTGCAGGGGATTGGGCAGCCAGAGGGTGGCGTTGCAGCTCCTGCAGGCGATGCTGAGAACGCCAACGCTGCTCTCGTCATGTCCGACTCTGGCAGCAGCACTGAAGTAGATGACGATGATGATGATGATGGCAGCGCCGAGGGACAGGCGGCAGCTTATACTCCTCCAAGGCTTCCTGCCACTTGGGCGTTTAGTCAGAGGGCGGTGGGCGGGGCTACATCTACGCCGCCAATACGAAGGAGAGTCAGGTAAGCTGGACAGCACAGAAGAAACATCACATGTGCTTTGTGTGCTTCATCAAGGTGATAAACCTGTGTTTGTGGTGCAGGCAGGGCCTCAGAGTGCACTATCCGAGCCAGACTGCAGCGCCTTCTAGAGGCTTTCCAGACTTCCTGCTGCGAGCGCCGGCTGCCAGCACAGCAGAGCCAGAGTCGGGCAGTGCCACTGAAATTAGTGAGTCTGAGGATGAGGCAGAGGGTGAAGAAGAGAGCACGGCTGCTGCTGCAGAGCCCATTGACCCTGTGCCACCTGCTGGGTCTGACCTCAGCGCCACTGTCCAACCTGCTCAACCACAGGAAGCCGCTACGACCAGTGAGTCTCAGCTGAATCTATTTCAAGAAATCACCCTGATTAAAGCTTTATCATAAAGCTGCAGCTGGGCTTATGATACATGAAGGTAACCAATGAGCGTCCACGATGATTTTTATCTCCGTTCAGACTCCAGTGGCACGGCAGAAGCCGAGAGGGCAGAAGCTCAAGTCCAGGGTGTTCAGGTAGCTTTCAGACATTTTTCTTTTGTGCTTTCTTGTGCTTTTTACACATGTAAAACTATTTTTTTAATATATTTTAAAATTGTTTTTAGGATAACTTTATTAAAAAATTCTTTGGTTGTAAAAAAGAAAAATCTCAGCATCAGTATGCAGTTACTGCTGAAGAAAAGTCGCTTTCCTTATGTTTGCTGTGATGTTTGGTGTCTTCTTAAAGTGTGCTTGGCTTTACCACACACAGAGTGAGTTGGTCCTCAGTTGGTGGAGGGGCCTGGTCACCAACCATGGGGTACCAGCCCTCGCTTCATCCTCTCTTAATTGGGTTCACAAGCTCTGTGAACTAGTAGTTATCATCTGCAGTGACCTATAACCACCATGACACGGATGGATTACACTAAATTGTGTCTTTTAGCTGTTTTCCAAAGTGGTCTCACTGTCTTCATTCTAGCACCCACAAAAACCAGGGTTTCTTTATTGCATCAAAAACAAAACAAGGAAAATATGTTTACCATCATCATTTTGTAACAAGTGTAGTCTTGTACAGTATTCCTGGACTGGAAATTGTCCTCGGAGAAGACCAGCTCCGTACAACACCATGTCACTGATGCGTTCTTTGATAAGTGTGCAGTTGGTGTTAAATTTCCTTCCACAACAGTAAAGTCTTACTAATCCAACTTCTGCTTAAATATTAATAATTAATTAATTAAAGGAAGACATAATGTCAAGAATTTATGTCAAAACTATTTATGCATTATGTGGAAAATATATCAACTCAAGCCTCACGTGGGTGCTGATGCGTTTCTGTAATGCCACTTTCCACAACAAGGTGGTGCAACAAGTCAGTGTAACCTTACTTTGAGCCTTTGAAACACATCGACATGCTAAAAAGAACTCGCATTCACTGATAGAATGCTGTCCCCAGTTTGTTTGTTTGTTTTTTTTAGGATATTTACAAAAACGATCATTAACTGTTGATCCTCCCTGCTTCCAGGTGTCCTCAGCAGTTCTGTCTCCCAGTGACGAGAATGAAGGTGACACCTGCACCATCTGCTTCGAAGCGTGGACGACGGCCGGCGAGCACAGACTCGCCGCTCTGCGGTGTGGTCACCTCTTCGGTTACACCTGTATCCAGCGCTGGCTGAAAGCTCAGAGCCCTTCTGCTAAATGTCCGCAGGTGAGAAGGAAGAAAAATCCCATCGACCACCGGTGGAAGATTGAAGGTTAAAATATATTTGATGTTTTTTTTTGGGTTTTTTTGTGATTTTAGTGCAACAAGAAAGCAAAGCGTTCCGACATCGTGCTCCTGTATGCTCCAAAACTGAGAGCGCTTGACAACACGGAGCAAGAGAGCTTAAAGAAGTGAGTGATCGCCTTCTCTGCTCTCTGCACCATATCCGTTTAGCTGTGCTAACGAGGAACGCTGCTCTCCTCCAGAGGGACGAATCCTGAGTGAACTCTGTTTATAAACTGTTAAATATTTGCTTAAGAAATGAAAGATAAACCATTAAAGAATCATCACTTGAAATTGACAACAGCTGTCTCACTCCATACCTGCAGGTGCAAGTAAATTCTATATGTATTAATATTTAAAAGGATAATGTCTTACATTGGACACTGATAGATCAAATGAAAGAATCTGTAATCTGCAAACAGGGACTCTAAAAGATCTCTAGGTAGAGTGGTCGCCCCATGATCGGAAGGTCGGGGGTTCAAATCCACTGAGCTACTCTGAGGTACCCCTGAGCACGGTACCGTCCCTACACACTGCTCCCCGGGCGCCTGCTTAGTGGCTGCCCACTGCTTCACTGAGTGACTGGGTCAAATGCAGAGAAAGTAATTTCCCCACGGGATCAATAAAGTATACACTATTATTATTATTATCTTATTGGGTCATTCCTCCACCCGACCCCCACAAAACTGGGATGCTGAACACAATGTCACGTCTGTCACTGTTATGGTTTCACTTCGGCTGTAAGACCACCTCTCGATTAAGTCACAGATTGTTCGTTGAGAGATGTTGCAACAGTTTGAAAAACATGAGAATTTGTGGAAAACACTCGGATTTTGACTTCTTCTCTTCCTGTATCAGCGCTGCAGTGGCCACACCTGTTGTTCAGGAGAACACTGCAGTGCCTACCTGCAGGTTAGCAGCTAGCATAAACAAGCGACTGTAAGATGATGTTGCGGTGGCATGCAAAGCGAACAGTGCAGAGGGTGTACTGGATTCTTAATGGCATCAGCAGAAAAGTTGCTTTGCCATCATGTTAAAAAAAATCTAATTACAGTGACGGATCACAGAACCTGCAGCCAGCTCACAGTTGCCTGTTTGACAAGCCTGAAAATGAAACTTAGGTCACGATGACAAAGCAAAAGAATGAATCTTTCAGTTTTTTCTTGCACACTTTTTCCCAGCCTGCATTCACAGGCCTGCTGTCAAAATGGCAAAAATTATGAATAATTGTCTAAAGCCAGCTTCAGCTGTCCTTGTTTGTGCTGTTCTTGTTAGATTTCAGTAGATAACAATATAGTGACATGTTAGGTGGATTTAGTCTGTGGGTTGTTAGTCCCATGACTGATTCCCAACAACGTGTTTGTAGGTCTCTGGAGCAGGAGCAGTCGCTGAGGAGGAAGGCTGAACTGGAGTCGGCTCAGTACAAAATCAAACTGCAGGTCGTCACCAACAAATACGGACAAGCACAGCAGGAGCTGCAGGTATTTCATGTGTTTTTGTTTAAACACAATCAAAGTGCGTAAGTCTCCCTCTGCTTTAGTTTAGTAAAGAATGTGATGCTAATAATCTGCCTTCTCTCCCTCGTACAGGAGCTGAGAGCCCTCATAACCGAGACGAGCAGGAACCTCTTTTCTTCCACGTCCTCGTCCTCCTCCCATGTCCTGAGCCTGTCTCAGAGGGCGGACGGCTCCAGGTCAGCTCAGTACAGCTTCTCCAAAGCGGTGCTGGTGTCTCAGGCCGGAGGCTGCAGGGTTTTATCGTACTGTGAACCTTTGAGCTGCCTGCTGGCCTCTCAGCCGTCGCCTCACACCACGCTGGTGCCCGGTGAGACATCCTTCTTTCCACTTGACAAGTGTGATTCTTTATCGCTCACACCAGACACGAAGAACAGTTTCACCCTGCATTAGTTGTGTAAATGTAGTCACGCTAGACATGCACACATAATGAGAGAAGTTCCACTAATAGATCACCCGAGTTAGTGTGTGTGTGCGTGTGCGCGCGCGTGTGTGTTTTGAATCACTCAACTTCCCCGTTTTCCTCTTTTCCTCCATTCAGGGTGCGGGGTAAAGAAGGTCAGTGTGGTGAACATGAGGGCGAGTCAGTACGTTCCCATCCACAGCAAACAGATCCGAGGTCTGTCCTTCAACAGGCAGAACGACAGCCTGCTGCTGTCTGCTGCATTGGACAACACTATCAAACTGACCAGGTACGAGCACGTCAGCATCTCCAGCCTCACAGAGGGTTGAGTCGTGCGCGCCTGTGAGTTAATGTGTTGTTGTTTTGTTCCAGCCTGCTGACCAACACGGTGGTTCAGACCTATAATGCGGGTAAACCAGTGTGGAGCTGCTGCTGGTGTTTGGACAACAGTAACTACATCTACGCCGGCCTGAGCAACGGCTCTGTGCTCATCTACGACACGAGAGACACCAGCACGCACGTGCAGGAGCTCGTGCCGCTGCGCTCCAGGTACGCAAAAAACATACGAAGGCAGAGCGAGTAAGACCAAAAGTTTTATTAAACCACGGTTTCACAAATTCACTCAACTTAAAAACTTTGAATTGTGGGTGTGTGATGTTTCCAGATGTCCGGTGGCATCTCTGTGTTACGTCCCGAGGGCAGCGTCCAGCTCGTTCCCATGTGGGGGGCTCCTTGCTGGCTCTCTGGAGGGCGGGTGTTTCTGGGAGCAGGTGAACGAGGCCACCTACAGGCCCCACGTCCTGCCCCTGGAGACCTCTGGCTGCACCGACATCCAGGTGGAGACGGAGAGTCGACACTGTCTCGTCACTTATAGGCCCGGTAAGACCCTGACCCCTCAGTTCCTGATAGAACACCACGTATGTAGGTAAAAGATGGAGGCGGTGTTACGTGATCTAAACTTTTCACCCTCTCATGGCACCTTTTGAGTAACCATCGTCTGTCCTGCAGGACGCTCCAATCCGTCTCTGCGCTGTGTCCTCATGGCGCTGACTCGAACCCCTCAGCAGGAGTCGAGTGAGCTGCCCAGCTGTTCCTGCGAGCCGGTGCAGACGTTCAATGCCGGCTCGTCCTGCAAACTGCTCACCAAGAACGCCGTCTTCAGGAGTCCGGACGGAGGCGGGACGCTGGTCTGCGCCGGGGACGAGGCCTCCAACTCCACTATGGTCAGTCCTTTTACATTTGTCTGTTATTTGAAAGAGCAAATTATTATTTTATGTTTTGATAAATGATCAGCTTTTATTTTAATGAATTTAGTATTTTTTTTATTCATATTTGTTTTATATAAAATATTTGTGGTTTGCTTCGTTAAATTATTTTTGCATTCTAAATTAATTGAAATGTATAAATCTAAATACCATATCATTTTCGTTGGTTTTTTTGTGTAATTTCAATTATTTTAAATAAAATTTAATAATTTAATAATTACATGTATCAAAACAAATGAATGTATTAATTAAATGTATTAAATTAAAGAAATATATTAAATGATTTTATTTATTAAATGTAATAATTATTCAATTCCCAATTACATTTTGTAATATTTAGTAACATCAAGTGTCCGAGAGTTTATGTTCTTTAACCCTTTAAAGCCGGTCGGAGCAGCACGCTCCGTTTTGCGTAACTATTTTTAAATCCCGGTAGCTCTGCAACCACGTAAGCTAGCGCAATAATTTTTTTTTGCATATGAAACCGGAGGAGTTGTACTTACATCTTATGCAGCTTGTCCTAGGTCACGATTTCCTTCCACAGAAAGCTTTGCAAAAACTGCATAAAAAGCACTTGCAGCAACAAAAACATAATATTCCAGATGCTTTGCTGATCGGATCAGCTGTTCATAAGAACGTATTCCTACGTTGGAATAGACGTCAGCGTGAACTATTGCATGTCCGCCATGACCTGCCCGAAACCGGTATTTCAAAAATAAAACTATGAAGACACTTAAAATAAATTTCCTGTGGTGGGAAACTATTTTGTGCAACTTTTTTGTATTTACAGTTTTGAGGGTTAAGCCTCTTAAATTTCTCTAACTGTTAAAAAAACAAAAACGATTTTCAATTTTTTGTAGTTTATTGCAATTTATGTAATATACTTAATGCATACATATTATTAAAATCTGGGCTATAATGGTTGTATTGATGTATAGCAACTTGAAATACTCCCAAAAATGGCTCCACAGCAGGTAAAAATATCATATAAGCTCTGGCGGACTTGGTTCTATGGTAGGTCTTAAAGGGTTAAATATTCCTTAAAAATTAAGGAAAATCAGTGATTCTCTTTTAACCCAGATTTTTTTTTTGATTGAATAATTTTTAAATTTAATTTTTATTTTTATGAAATATTACCCCAAATTCTTTTTAATTGTGCTCGTATTTTGAGCACAGTTGTTTTAATTGCTTGGTAAAGGTGTGCAAACTGTGGGTGTTCACAACAACCTGCTAAGAACTAAAGAAATCACAAAGGAGGATTTTGGTGCAACGCCCTCTTTAGATCCCATTTCACCTCCACAGGCTGGAGGTTGCCACAGCGTCTCTGACTGACACTGAGGCCTTAGCTAATCACTCACTCACTCAACACCTTACTTATGTGCTTGCATATTTAGTTACTGACCTACTTACACAATTAATTATTTACTTAATGACTCACAGTCACACTTACTGAGACTTGCTTATTTGATAGTTTAGATAATTTTTTTTCTTGAATGTTTCTTTTTAAACTTATATATGATCATTTCTGATGAGTCAGTTTCCAGTTTTGACTTTGCCAAAGGTGTTCTGATGTTGTCTTTAGATTTTAAAATTGTATTAATATTCTTATTTTTTTCTTGAATATTAAGCTTGAAGCTTAAATGTTTCCTTCTGTCTGATTTGTCATCTCGTTCTCCTTTTCCTCCTCAGGTGTGGGACGCCAGCAGCGGCGGTCTGCGCCAGAAGCTTCCGGCCGACCTCCCGGTGCTGGACATCAGCCCGTTTTCTGTGAACGGCGAGCACTTTTTGGCATCGCTTACGGAGAAAATGCTGAAGCTCTACAAGTGGGAGTGAAGTGGGAGGAGTGGGTGAACGCGACAAGAGCAGAAAACCAAGAGGCAAACCTCAGTCCCACGAGGAAAGGACGCCATCTGTGAGGAACTGTGGGAAATGTAATGCTGCTAAACTTTTACCTGTGCGTTTACACCGCTGAACAGGTTACCGCGAGTGATCGGACTGAGGAAGCGTTTCACACTCATCGCTTCTTCTTTTTGAAGTGATTCAAATTACGCAGGCGGATCATTTCTGTTCACCATATGAGTGTGATTTCAGGAGCCAAAGATCAGATTAATAATGTCTGTGTGTGAAAGAAAACATGAATGTAGCCCAAACTCGTCTATCTTTGTCATGAAAGTGAGTTCGGTTAGTTCAAGCAGGACTTTCCAACACCTGATGCTAAATTTATCAGATTTTCAGAGTTTCCCCAAAAATTCAACATAAGCCCCCCTTTTCTTTTCTTTTCTTTTCTTTTCTTTTCTTGTCCGCCTTTTAAAAATTTCAGGTTTTCATTTCTGTCAAACTCTGTCCATCTCTGTGGCTCGTTATCGGAGTCAGATTTTATTTAGCCCTCTGACACGGATCACAAAGTGCCAAAGTAATCTGCTGTCGTTTAAAAGTTTACTTTCTTTGTCTTTTTAAAGGAAGTTGTATATATGTATATTTGCCACCAGTTGTTTGTGTACGCCTTCAAAAGTTAATAATAAAAATGTGTTATTTTTAAATAAAGTCAAAATGTTGGATTTAAACTGCTGTGTAATTCATTTATTTTTTTAACGTGTGTTCATATGTAGTATTTTTATTTTTCCCCCCCAAATAATCTCAAGGGATTATCAGATGTAGAAAAATTTCTTCTCCATTGGATTATCAGAGAACAGATCAGCTAAAATTATGATCTAGACTGATTTATGCTGAGGATCAAAGATGGATGCTGAACAGAAACTAGATTTAGTTTCAGACTGTGAGACTTTGAGTGTAAAATTGACCTGTGAATAGGTGTTGGTAGTTTCTACTGTTTCCCTGCTCTTTGACATTTGGTCTCTCAGCGTGACTATGGCGCTTACGATGGAGACTGACCACCAGATCAGTTGTTAGAGCCTCCTACATGAGATTAATGTGCTGACTAGAACTCTGTGGCCTGTCACTGTGGGATGGTTCAGTCTAGAAACTTTCAGTTTTTCTGCCAGCTGAGCAAATCAGCTAGATGCTGCCTTCATGGACTGCTCGTACATCTTAT